GTGTGTGTGTGTGTGTGTGTGTGTCATTAAGAGGTTTAAGCTCCTTCATGGGTTTATCCCTGGATCACAGGGATCTGCTCGGCTCACCGGTCATTTGCTGTCAGCGTCCCAAGAGCTCAGATTGTTAGGGGCCGCTTTACTCTCAAAATGATGGAAATGTGTTGGACTAATTTGACTTTAGCAGGATTGGCTGAATATTAGTCCACTCATCCAGCAGATTATCCCGGCGCTGCCATGAACACACTGCACATGTAGGATCTGTCAAACACCCCGTGCATCAGAACACAGCACATATTTTTTTTCTTCTGTGTATAAAAAACTGGGAGYGCTTGCTGCCTCTGTAAAGCCGGGCGGCGTGTAACTCTGGGAATAATAGGAGCTTTGGGAGTTCTTACCCGGTGAGATGAGCTTATCTGCGCAGACAGAGTGTGTTTTCATTTAATCTGAGTTCAACATCAGGTGTCAAGTACGATTACACACCGATACACTCAGCAAGAACCAGGTTTGTGTTTGGATTCCTGCTCACACATTTGATCATTTTGAGTCTGTCCAACCTTATTCTAATTATTTATCACTGCCATGAGATTAATGTTTTTCACCCTCTGATATTTATTTAACGCTGTCAGGATTTCCCCCCTAATTTCCTSTCCAGCAGCAACACTGCTGACCTTCCTATTGGCTGACATGTGGAAGTGACAGCTGGCCTGATGTAACGACACCCCCTCCGCCGCACAAGTTATAAAGAGCAATATCTAGTTCCATGGATTGAGATAAGCCTAGGTAGATTAATGCTGCGGGACTCTGAAATGTTTGCCGTATAAAAGCTCTGTTGATAAAACAATGTGTGGTTTCTGTGGAGGAACTCTGATCTGGCAGATGGCTACAAAAGTTGCTCCACGTTAAAGACAGCGCGCCACGCTTTGGGCTCATGTGGCTTAATGGGATTTTAGAGTCAAACGATTTCTATATATGAAAAAAAAAGAGGCTGTTTAATCTCTCTTGATTTTTTTTTCCACAAAACTGAGCCCGTCCCATGGTTTTAGCATTCGTGGAAAAAAAAAAGGAAGAAAAAAGAAAAGCGGAGCGTCGGCTACGATCGTCGAACGCTACAGCGCAGGCGGCCTATCAGCTACGAGAGCCGGAGAGATGCCCTGTGGACCGTTTCTCTGAGCGCGCTCAGTCAATTTGACTCACTTCATCCCGGGCTGCCGTGCACGCCTTCTCCAGAAGCGTTCTCCAAACGAGGACAGACACCAGAGCTGTTCCTCCGCCGCCGCCGCCGCCTGCCGTAGACGCATCCTCATTCAGCTTCTCCTCTCCGGAGCCTCAGCTTCCACTCCAGACGAGCGGGGATCAAACGGCACCTTTTTGGATCTTCTGGCTCCTCGAGTTCAACTCAGGAGAGGTGCCCCACCACCTGGTTCCCACCAGATCCCATCATGCCTCACTCCTTCCAGCAGAAAAAAGGTGAGACCCCCTCTTTTTTTCCACTGCTTGTCACCATTAGTTAGTTTCTACAGCGGTGCCAGAGGAAGGAATGTGAACTACTAGATGAAACATAAGGAGACACGTTCAAAATATCCTATTTAAAACAAAAATGCAGCTTTCTTTTTAATCTTTTTGAAGAATACAGTTTATTTTACTTTACACTTCAAGCAAATATGCAATCTTGTTTCTGAAATGAGAAAAAAAGAAACCCTCTAATGACTTTCACGTAGAGGAAAACTTGGACCAGAGCCAGTTTTTTTTTCCTCCAGGTGAAGGCCAGAAACGCTGGCTTGCCAACACCTGCGTGGATTAATTGGTCTGCATCCACAGAGCTTCAGTGTTGGTCAACTAATCTCCGAGATTTAATCAATCCGCCGCTCGATCGCRAACGCGAGCAAACACGCAAAACGAACAATAAAGGCCCTACAGGAGGGAAAAGTGTGATAGAACAACTGACATCTGATAAGCAAATGAGAGAAGTTGAAAGCGCAGAACGATGGGCCTCGCCGGGCTTTTTATCTCGCAGTATTTAAAAAACATGTAAATCCAACTTTTAACCCGAGCCGGGACGGGGGTATATGAGCAATCTGAGACGAGCTTTTTGATTCACTTTTTGATTTTGCGTGCCACACCGCCAGGATCTCGTGCCGTGAGAACAAAAAGGAYGCCCAAGAAACAAGAAGGTGAGTGTTTTCTGTAGATGAAAGGACTTCTTACCATCACAGCGCCTTTGTGAAAGCCAACACGCGTCTTTATTATTTATATCTAAAGTTTCAGTTTGAAAAGCAGCAGATCATTAACGTGTCCCACGCTTTTTCTTCTTTTTTTTTTTCCTCTTCTTCTTTTTGGGGTTTGGAAAGTTTGCTCGGCTGATTTACAGCTTTAAAAGAAAAGGAGAATTCACATGTGCCACTTGTGGTCCCCCACTCCGTGTGTGTGTGTAGAACACATTTGTCTTATTTATTTTATTTTTTGGTTTCAAAGTGCAGGCACATATCAAAGTGTGTGTCTGTGCGATGCAGCAGATAACGGTGATGTGAAGGAAGGCTGTCGAGCTCCGGAGCTGCYGCAGTCTGAACTTCCACCTGCCATTTCCTGGGCTGTAATGAAAGCACAAAGACACGCAGCTGTTAGTGAGACTCCGCTTCGATCGAACACACAGTTCACAGGAAAATAATTTAAAAAATACACGTTAATGAAGCCTGGTGGTCAGTGCACTGGTTTCTGGGAAGTTACAAGGTGAGGAACACGAAGATGAGATGACGGTTAATGAGATTTTACCAACACAAAAAAAAGGCAACTTTCAATGTTTTTGTGTTTGTGGTTATAAAAAATACGTTTTTAAAAAAGCTAGAATTTACTCTTCCACATTAGGAGAAATTTCATGTTGCTCCTTCTCTTTATGGCCTGGTTGAGGATTGCTTTCATCCTTACCAATCCCATGTTTCCATGTTGGATTTAAATCCATTTCCTTCTTTAGCTGGAGGACACCAGCAAAGAGCTGATATGAAGAAGAAAAAAAACACCTTCACACCACAGGCTGGGGTGGGGGAAGGTTTGATGCACAGGAATGCTGTTGCAAATAATTAGTCCTGATTGGAAAATGGAGTTAGATTTTTGTTTTTGGTTATTTTACATCTAATAATTAAAAATGCAGAGGAGCTCTGTCACATTCACACCACTTCTGTWCATTTTTCTTTTTCTAAAACGACGGGCAGTAGAGGTGGATGTGCTGAGTGCACCGTTGCTGCTCCGTGCGTGGCTTCTTGTTGAACTGTGGCCTGGAGCTAAGTGTGTGTGTGTGTGTGTGTGTGTGTGGGGGGGGGGGTAAGTGGGTGGGTGAGTTTTTCCTACAACATGTGGACAATTTTCCCAAAAAAAGCTGCCTCGTAAGGACCAAAGTGAATCGTGGGGACCTGGGTCCAAATGCAAATTACAGGTGTGGGGTTACGTTTAGGACCAAGGTTTAGGTTAGTTTTAGGGTCAGGTAGGTACCTGTGAGGTTAATTTTAGAGTATATGGTCAGAGTTAGGATATAAAGTCTAAAAAACATGAATAGAAGTCAATGGAAGGTCCCCACGGGGTCAAGAAACAAACGTACGTGTGTGTGTGTGTGTGTGTGGTTCCTGTTTAACCAGCCCGTAGACCAGTATCAGGCATTAAATTCCAGCAACCACATTTTGACCTGGCAGCTAAAAAAAAGCAAAGTAATGTTAAAAAGGTTTTGCTATGGTTGAAATCAAAACTGGGCCAGGAGTTGATGGAGGAAAAAAAAAAAAAAAGGGAAGCTGCAACACTTAAGCAGAAACGGCTCAAGATCCCTTCGCTCCAGACTGCAGCTGTGTGGCGGGAATCTACCACGAGCTCTTATTATTAAAGCACGGTTAGCTCGCCGTGGGATGAGCGTTGGCTTCAGGGGCAACCAGAGGGATCAAACCGGTTCAGCGGCCTGAGGCGTTATCACCACTGAACCTGTTGGTATGGTGGAAATTTCCACYGCTTCCATGAAAACACACTTCCTCTGCTGCCCAAACAGCTCAGGTGAACTCCGCTCAACCTGTCGGGGTTTTGCGTAAATCTTGGCTTTCTTTAAAAATTCACAGCAGCGACCTGAGAGTCATCAGGTTATAGTTGTGCCAATAACTACCTCGATAGTGTCACAATTACGTCCAATCAGGGAGAMACAAGGAGATTACATATATTAATGCTAGCTTTTTCAATCTGGAAGGACTCACAAAGAAATGGTAGCAGTTGAAGAGCTTTGACATGAATGAATGAAGAGGACCATGGTGCTCTGGCTTTGGCGCTCGAACCCCGGCAGGAGATGTGAGCGCTGCGAGATGCTGAGAACTGAGGATCAGCTTAGAGATGGAGTAAATGTCCCCCCCCCTCCCCGGGGCCCGGACGCTGGTGGTGGGACGAAGGCCGAAGGGGAGAGGTGGCTGGACCTTGACTGAGGGAGGAGGTGGGTCGAAACTCGTCTGGTGAGCAGTGGATCCTTAGCCGCAGGGCCTTTTAACGGTGATCTCGATGAGATGATTGGACGYGGTGAGGTGAGGATCAGACGCTGATGAACTGCAGCTGGACGCTCGACGCAGCAGGTGGGAGAAGCAGGTGAGGCGGGGAGAGTCTTCCAGTCTGAATTTACGCTTATTAGGCTAATTTAGGCTCCATGTTACAGTTCTGCTTTTTACCACGACCATGTTTGGTTAAACAGAAGTCACGGAAACAAAAATGTGGTTTTACCAGAAACACTTTCCCGCACACACCCAGCCTATATCACGGTAGATGTTCTGACAGTCGAGCAGAAAAAAGCGGAGTTGATTCAAACAGACTGCTTTTTCTTGGATCGTAATCGAAGACCCACTTTAATCTGTCAAAACGCTTTGAGAAACAACCCGTGCAACAGTTGTCTGAAACCAAATAACTGCTGCCGAGGTCTGGCAAGACCCCCCCCTCCCAGGAGTGGGTGAAAGGATGCTCAGATAAAGATCGGTGCGAGTCGTAGCCCCCCGTGCTCGTGTTGTGTGGCGGGTAACGGAGCCGTSATCCAGGAAGTGGCAGCCAGGCAGGAGGCTGCTGGTGGTCTGCCTGGAAAATTCCACTGAGTTCGGACTCMTCCAGCTGCATTCCAGGCTCCTCTCAGCTGGACCAGGAGAGTCCTGAACACTTTCGTTTGACGAAACTGGAWTTCCAGCTCGCTCTCTTTCAGCACGTAGCTCAAACAGGCCGTCGAAGTCCAGGTGATCCGCTCCGGCGTGAAACTTGACAGGAGAGGGGTCGTGTTTTTGAAGTTTAAAAGACTAAGTAAAGCCACGGTGAACAAAGCATTTGAGTTTCCACAGACTTGTATTGTTTAAGTCCAGACCAGGGGAATTAAAACATCAATGCACTTATGTCAAACTGAAGGCTTGTGGGCCAGGTACGGTCTTTGTTACCATCCTATTCGGCCCATGAGATCCTTCACATGTTTTAGAACTGACCCAATCTGTGAGAAATTCAGTCTCTGTTGATTTATAGTTAATAAAACATATTTAATATAGACCGACGTGGGTTTATGTTTGTTCAGTAATTATTAAAGGGCCCTCGGCTGGACTTGTTTTAATTTGGCCCCTCGTTCAGCAGAGTCTCACCCCCCTGCAGAGAGTCAGGTTGAGTAAAGAGCTTCGACAACATGAACCTGAAACTCCTGTTTGATCAACTCTGTGAACCTCGGAGAGCTCCTCGCCTCCGACGCTGAGCTCCAGTATCTTTCCGTTGCCTAGTTTAACCGCGGCACACGGGGTCAAAAACCATAACTTTCAAGTCGTCAGACCATAACTCGTCTGTCTGGTAATCAAAAACAAACAGAAAAGKGACGAGCCTCCAAAGTTTACCCTCGGTCTTTGGGTGGAAACTCGGGTTCTCTAACAGAGCTTATAAAGAACACACTTTTTCATCATATCTCCAGATGATTATGAAAAAGGTACACACACACACACACACACACACACACACACACACACA